TATCAAGCAGCTGTTCACACGGTGGCCAAGAGCGCATCCCACTGTTCATCTGGAGTAAAATGGCGCCAAGGCATCGCTCCAGCTGGCCGCAATTTTGTACAACCATGTTATTGTTCGTCTGCCGATCGTTACACGCGCCATTTCTTTCCTCCGTTTTTCCGTTTGCCTGTTGCGTTCATGTTCAAGGTAGAAGTTTACAGATGATGGTCACTGCAGCGACCGAGTTTGATGTCGGTGTGTTGGATCTGGATCGGAGAGTTGCCGACAGTTACGCTCACCAGAAACTCACGTCCACTGGGTAACTGCGGCGTTAGTGCAATCTGGGTCGGCGAAAATGTCTCGACACCTGACGAAGTCGACGCACACAGTGCCGGCTGTCCTCGTGCAACGAGCTGTAGACGAGATCACCTGTGATAAGCGCCGGCCGTTTGCACTATGCATGGTAAAAGGGAGATGTCTTGCGGACGGCCTTGACCACGCGCTTCATGTCAGATTTTTGTCATGGCACGTAGGCATGCGGAGGCCTCTACCGACATATCGAAGGTCAGGCGGTCAGGTCACCGAAGGTGCGGCGGCTGCTCTGACCTCTCAGGACGAAGGCCGTCCCCTCGCGGTAGGGCCATCGCCCGAAGGTCACGACCCCACCGCCGCGGGCGCTGGTCGACGCAGTGTGTGATCCGAGGACAGGGCGATCATTCCCCAATGGCTACCATAGCCTGGGGGAGTCAGTCAAGGAAACCTCCACCGAAATCAGGCTTGAGCCAAGACCTCTCACCAGGATTGGCATGCGCGCTAGCCGACCGCGCAACCGAAAGTGTTCAGAACAACTTAAGATAAACACTTGAAACTGCTATCAGTGTGCAAGTCTTTTGTCCTCTATGATAAATGTTGTGGGTGCTTTGAAATTTTGAGAAATGCATGCACATTTTATAGTTTTTTTCCAAAAACATTCGTTTTCAGATCAATATACTAAAACCTAACAATTTCTTGATCCGATATTGCAGTTTTGCAGCTTCCAATTTCTTCATTCGGTGTCTTCTTTTCGTGCAATGTGCACTGTGATAATTCGATTCAGTCTGCAATTGCTCAGAACACGGTCGAATTCTCGAAAGCTTTCGTGTCGCTACATGATTGGCGGGGTTGCCGATTCAAACCAGCAAGTGATGTTGATTCACCTGGGGGGGGGGGGAAGTTGACTTCCTCTGAGGTTTTTCTAAGCACAAGTCAAAAACGAACGCGCACAGTGAGATAATTCCAGTAGCTGTGTTTTATCTATAACATTCATCTATTTTGGGTGCAGTTTTTCGTGTTCTTATTTATGAATCAAAAAGTACTACCTTCCACATGAAAACCATCCTATACCACAGGGGTATCTGGACCATGGCACGAATCATTCTTGCTTTAATGGGGCACCTTATGCAAAACGCATGCTGAGCTCAAAACAGGCAGTTTTATTGCATAATTTTGGACGCATGATTATGATACTCATCTAAAAACAAATGATCTTAGGATACCTAGTGAGGTCACAATAGGTTACATGAAGACATCCAGGGCCCAATGAGGCCATCCAAGGCCTAGACCTAGACCAAGAGATGGATCCAAGACCTATGCTATCAGTAGCGGAGAGTCTAGATGAACGAGTGCGACGCTTGTAACCACCTCCTTATCGTGTTTGTGGAGCTGATCACGTATAATTTTGTGCACCAATGTGCCTGATCTCAATTTGTTGCAAATCCGTTGATGTGGCCAGGCATAATGAATGCAACAGCTATGCGATTTTGATGCGATACCACAGGGTATATGACCATGGCACGAATCATTCTTGCTTTAATGGGCACCTTATGCAAAACGCATGCTGAGCTCAAAACAGGCAGTTTTATTGCATAATTTTGGACGCATGATTATGATACTCAACTAAAAACAAATGATCTTAGGATACCTAGTGAGGTCACAATAGGTTACATGAAGACATCCAGGGCCCAATGAGGCCATCCAAGGCCTAGACCTAGACCAAGAGATGGATCCAAGACCTATGCTATCAGTAGCGGAGAGTCTAGATGAACGAGTGCGACGCTTGTAGCCACCTCCTTATCGTGTTTGTGGAGCTGATCACGTATAATTTCGTGCACCGATGTGCCTGATCTCAATTTGTTGCAAATCCGTCGATGTGGCCAGGCATAATTAATGCAACAGCTATGCGATTTTGAGTCCTGTATGTGTCCAACACGCGTTTTTCATAAGAAAGCATTGTGCTGATCACATTGACCCAGCTAGCACTCCAATTTTTGTCATTTGAATGGCATATGAAGTTGACTTTAGCTGACCTCCAGGTCAGCCCAAAATAGTATGTTTGTGCCTGGAATGCTTTTGTTCTATAGCTGCGCGTGACAAAATAAGTTTGACAGGAGGCAAATGGGAAAAGAATGTTCTTGTAGGATCGTGGTAAGCCACTTTTGAACGGTGACCTGATTTGACCTAGCCCTTGTGGGAAACATAATTGGTCGGAACAGGCTTCCCACAGTCTTACGCTTATCTCCGTGCCCTCAATATCCGTGTCGACGTGTTAACACAAGCGTTAACTGCATGGATCGGAACAACCGTTTTTGACGTATGGTGACCTCTGGTAACCTCAAATTTGACCTAAGGTCAAACATTTACCGCGCATTCTTTATTGACGGGACCTTCACAACAGTATTTTTTTCTTTGTCCTGCGTCGTCTGGAAGTTGGGGGTCCCAGCTGGAGCCAACTTCCCCTGGCTCGGCGGTAGTCTCAGACCTCCGGCCCGGCACAGGCTAACTGGACGCTCTCTTCTTCCGTTGTGCTCTGGTCTGGACGCTGGAGTTGTGCAGTAGCGAATGTCGCGTGCCATGGTCGTTCAGCCTCCACCACAGGGGGACAGTCTCGTACAGAAGGTTTGGTGCAGGGGGCCGAGCGGAAATATTGAGTTAGGTAAAATACACCAGAAACAGTGAAGTGCAAATACACTACAAAATAAACCAAAAGGTACACCAAAAAATTAAAATCCTCGAATTTGACCCACTTTCCTGTTAAAGTTTGTGGGCTTGGAGTCCCCCAATGAAAGGAAAGCTTCATCTTTGTGCCAATATGTTTCCTTGCTCTGCCCCGGCGGAAAATGCCGTCGTTGGCACCATTCTCATGTTGTTTAGTATCGATGGTCGCAACCAGGCTTCAGTAATCGACGTATCGCCTATGTTATGTGGCTTCAGGCATAAGTAGTAATAATCAGTAATAACGGTCACGAGCTGATGTGCGGGTTAATAGAAAGTTGCCACAGGAATTTCCGTCCGGTAACAGTGAAGCGAGCTGCGGGCTGCGGCGCGGCACTCGCGTTAGGATATTCGACACAGCCAGCGTTGTCTTGCTGGTTATCGTCGGACGATTGATGCTATCAGTTGCCAGGTTTTCGTGATTGTTCCATTGAATAATCCATGTTGAAATGTAGGTCTGCCAATTTTAAGGGTTCTTCCGAAAACGAGCGTCGAGTAAGTTTGTCCCGATTTTAGGTGCTCGTATTTGACCGGTTTGTGTTAATTATCTGATAAGTCATCGGCGCAGATACAAGCCCGTATAACTAAAATGCACAATTCGTTGCACTCTGTAGAACTTGGAAACATCGCCGAATACCGGAAAAGCACTCAGACAAAAACACAAAACTACATTAATCAACAAGACATCTGCATCATGTGATTAAAAACATGCAGCACGCAAGCTGCAGCAAAAACAGGATTTTTTACGAACGCACGATGTTTGACTAGCTCAGTCAGCCGCAGTCAACTGAACGTCGCAGGTTTAGTTTACTCTCATTTTTATGTTCAGGTCTGATTTGACTACAGAAGATTGAGGGATGAGCAGACTCATCGTTGCGGGGCAAACTCGGACATTGTGTGTGTGGGGGGGGGGGGGGGGGGGGCAGCAGTCATCCC